ACCCCCCCCCCCCCCCTTCCTATAGTCTTTGCCAAAATATCTCAATGACTGATTGTGGTGATTTATTTAAGGTAGCAGTAATCATGGCTGGTCATTTTTCAAGTTCTTTTCGTAATCGGAGAAGAGATTAATGACAGTATATTAGATGAAAGCGCACAGCACAGCAGCTGTCTATGATTCTGGAGAATTTAGCCCGTTTATGCTTTTTGAAATGAGCAGGATACCTTTTTTTTTCTGGGAGAAAGTTCTAATCATTTATCAATGCGTCGGCGCAATACGTGAAAAATGCGCGCGCGTGATTGCGTAGCGGTCATTTTCTTCATACTCCCATCTGTCTTTCGAAATTCAAAACACAGTTTGGATGGGTTATTGGCCAATCATCATCTGCCGAATTTACAGTATCACCTGTTACCTTAATGTCATCAATTTCGTTTCCGTTTACTCGCCTTTCGTTGCTTGGGAATTTTACAATATCAGTTTGAGCTTGAAAGCCTTGATCTTCTGGCGGAGCTTTTCCTATGTAATGTCACATCTTTCTACGTTCTGATTTTCTTTTACTTTACCCCCTACCTGAATCCGCCCCTCCCGCAAGTCCTCATTCTCTCCGAAATTAAATGAGGGTGGGATCATATAACTACTCCGAATTTTGGAGAGGTCATAACGAAATTCAGAAAGGTAGTATAAAGTCGAAAAATCATCTCGTCGTCAATGGTTGTCTTGAATTTTGCCTCTACACTCATGGGGATGTGCTGGATTCTTCTAGTCTCTTCTAGTACCAACTGAACCCTAAAGATCGATGTCCGATTAGCCCTACCTTCCGTTTCGTCGAGGTCACTTTTTCATCAGAGAATCTGTAGAAAGAAACGTCCAGCAATTGGTCTTACGAGTTTCTGAACAGATCTTCTCACATAAGTTTAAATTTATTGGAAAATCTGAACAACCCCTGCATCTTCGGATGGGAGTCAAATGTAAGAAGAATTGCCGAGGATCGGCTCACAACCTTTTCAACAGATATCTTCACTCTAATTCTTCAACTCTACTCATTCTTCTGTGAAAATCTTGATTACTCATCAAATTTAATCAATTTTGTGAAAAATTGAGCCATCACGCCGCTCCATTAATTAGGGCGTTAATGTGCCGAAAAACAATTTTTAGTGCCCCCGCTCCCTGACAGCCCTCACAGTCAGTCCTGCGACTAGACAGAAGTCTAGTAGTCTGTAAGTGCTCTATCCATTAAACCCTCCCGGAAATACGATTCCCATGCCAACTCGATTTCAAAAACATCTCGGGGACAATACCTACCTTGTACGGTTATGCCCTGGTCCCCATATTTTTTCCAAATCTATTAGCTATTCTCCTTTATGAGTCCTGCATCCTTTTCATCGTGAATTTTGAATATTCTCTAGAGTTGTTACATATCGCAATGTGCTCTATTTCAATCTTGGTCCAAAGGAAATCAGGGAACCTACTGTTTGCTCTTTCCCCCACCCACTTTGACTGTGTTTCCCTAGG